GGATGACAAAGCAATTTTGGAAAAACTGTGCTGACAACAAAAGTGCTAAGAAACTAGCCAAATGTTTCTAGTCTCTGCCAAAACTCCAAATCCAATATGCTAAGAATGCAAATTATTGGACATTGCCCAATGTCCTCTTTCTTTCTGCCATCTCTCGAAAGACACTTCTTTGAACTAAAATTGATTTCAACCTGTGCTTCACTAGAAAACGGTGTTACTGTGGTGCATCTGCTTGCTGCAGCCTCATTCCCGCTTCATTTGTCAGAGGTCTTACTCTTTCTCTGCCATTTGGGTTTATGTCCTTAAGAACTTTTCCGTGAATCATCACAGTCATGAGGCTCTGACCAATACATCCCCTTGAAGGTACCCAGTGAACTGAAGCTGACGGGAAGTCACAGTCCTTCCTCACCCAATCCTGAGGCTGGAGCTGAGCAGCTCTGCTGCCTGACAGAGAGTAAAAAGAGGTCCTTTGTGAATCGAAAGTCATCTCAAGACCTGCGGGGAGTTGGGAAATCTGTGCAGGGCCCAGCCAGGAGCAGTGGGAGTGGAGGAGAGGAAGGAGGGAGGTAGGAGGGGATGAGAGGTTCAGAGGGAAGACCGTTCTTCAGTGTTTCAGCTGACTGTGCTCTCCCCCTTCCCCATTTATTTTATTCTTTCTCTAAATTTTAGAGATTTTATCTGGTTTTGATATGTAGCACTTTCTTTTTACTTTCTACATTGTCTTTCATTTCACTTTCTATTTCCTTCCTTAACAAAGTAATTACTCAGGAGAATGTTTATAGGTTTTCAAGAAGTCGGGCATTTAAATTTTTTAACAGTTATTTCTACTTGCATCTCATTATAAAGAGATGTACAATTTCTGCATTGTCAATTTGCTGGGATTGGCAAGAGGTCCAAAATATGATTAATCTGTCAATCAGCGAGATTTGTAGAATGGGTACACATGCCCTAGATTTCAGAAGCCAAATTTAGTGTAACTTACTTCTCCCTGTCTTATTAATCATAGTTTGTTTTTGTTTTTCTTTCTTCTTCTAAGAAGAAAGAACTTCCCCAGAAGCCTCCTGTTTCCCCAGAAGGCTCCTCTCCTCCCCCTTCCCTTTCCTGTCTTGGTGGGGAGGGGACAGATGATGTGGGATGGGTCAAGGAGATATAGTGAGGTGAAAAGTTCTATTCATTTCCTTCCATACCTCATTTCAAGCCCTGCTGGCAGCATCACACAAACTTCTGAGATTATTATTCAGCTTAGTATTTACATTCTCTAGGATTAAAATTAAACTTTCATTACTACCTTATGTGTCCTTCACTCTGAGTTCTGATGACTTACATCACTTATGGAATATTAATTAGGTGCTGCTTTTTATTCTGGAAAGATAGCTCCGTCACATTTGTTGAATTAGTCTCTACAGTTTAAAAGCTCTCTTTAACAAAAACAGGGGGACTAACAGTTGATCTATTCTTGCTGTACTTATTCTTTTGTTACAAGCCACATCACATTACCCGTGGGCAATATACATTTTTAGAAGTGGAAACTTTAGCTGAGAGTGATATAAATCCAAGAATTAAAATATAAATGTGCTTTTCTTGTTTAAAAAAGAAGAAAGATATGCTACACTGAATGTGGCAATACCACATTTATGATCCTTAATTTTTATTCTCAAATAAATGTTTATGGAGCTTTCTTACTGAACACAAAGTCTTTCCAAACCACACTACATGTGAAAGAGACATACTAGAGATTGACATTTTAATCTACATTTAAAGGACATATTCACATGGCAACAAGACATCTGGAATTACAAAATGAGAAGATTTGGGATTCTTAGAAGAGCATCTCAGTTTAGTTCAGTTCAGTCGCTCAGTCGTGTCTGACTCTGCGACTCCATGAACTGCAGCCTGCCAGGCCTCTCTATCCATCACCAACTCCCGGAGTTTACTCAAACTTATGTCCATTGAGTCGGTGATGCCATCCAACCATCTCATCCTCTGTCATCCCCTTCTCCTCCCACCTTCAATCTTTCCCAGCATCTATTCCCACTCAAAAGAAGACTTCCTATGATCTTTCTCCCACACCTATCTAGAATTACCTTTCTGTTCTTCATCCTTTCTAAAATATTGGGGAGGTGGTCCTTCTCTCTCTCACAAATAGAGTTAATAAATGGCAAAATCATCCTTCCTCCAAACCAGCAATGTATCTTAAATACCACACTTCTTTGTTTATTCCTTTGATTAAACATGTCATTTTGAGGTATACTTTTTAAAACTTAAACCAACATTTAGGGGAATAATATATTGAGTCATAATAATGTCATTTGAATTTGGTTCCAGTATCACTTTACCCACTGTCTAAAGCATATGAAAAGTGTTGGATGTACTTTTCCTAAAAGGGCTTAGTTCACAAATTTTCCCAGTAGATAGATATGATTAAAGGTCAGAACTTTGATCTAAGTCAATATACATCTATCTAGAATACTACATGTAGGTTCAGCTAAATCCTGCTCCAACAATAACTAGAATTTGATCTTTGTGATCTCAATTTTCTCATTTATAAAATTAAGGATTTTTATTCAATGACTTCTGAGACCCTACTGGTGATAAGTTCTATAAATCAATTGGCTGTATTCCTGTAGGACAGTCAAGGTTATATAGAAAAGTCTTTTCAATTATTCAAATCACTGTACATGACCTGTCTTTCTGATAACAAAGTTCTTTTATTTTTTTCATCAACAACCCTTGAGGGACATTTGATCAACACTCTGTGGTTATGAGTGCACATCAGAATGTTGATACTTCAGTGGTCAACTATGAAAGGGACTCTCATCGGATGTCTCTGAACTAATACATTCAAGGCAGGAGTTCAGAAATTTGACCTGAGAAAGACTTGCATTTGTAATGTTTTTTATTCTTCAAGCTTCTTTTTTTATTTATTTCCTTGATTTATCCTTATAAAGTATAGGGGGAAAGGTAGGGCATCTTTCAGAAGTAGGAACTCAAGTATGTAGATAAAGAATTGCCCAAGGCTTCACTAGTGGCTCAGATGGTAAAGAATCTGCCTGCAATGCAGGAGACCTAGATTCAGTCCACCTGGAAAAGGGAATGGCTACCCACTCCAGTATTCTTACTTGGAGAATTCCATGGATAGAGGAGATTAGTGGGCTACAATCCATGGGGTTGCAGAGTTGGACACAACTGAGTGACTACCAGCTTCAGTATACAGTCATCACAGGACTGAACTAAAATAAGAACTTAGAGTGTTGGGTGGAGATGGTGGAAAAGAAAGGCCCAGAGCTCAGCTCCTCCGATGGGGACACCACATTTAACAACTATTTACAGAGCAGCTATCAATGACAACAACCTGAAGACTAGCAGAAGAGATTTCCTACAACTAAATATGTAGATAAGGAACCATAATGAGTCAGGCAGGAATGGCAGAGATGCAATATAGACCCATAACACCAGGTAGGTGGCCCACAAATGGGAAGATAATCACAGTTGCAGAAAGTTTCCCCCAGGGAGTAAGACCCCCAGGGGTCCAGCACAGTAAGTACTCTCTAAGTGTGAACTATTTTTACTATTCTTCAATTAAAAAAAAAAAAAGATGTTGAAACTATAGTTTTTATTTATATAACAATGCCTAAAATTTCTTCATAATGAAAAATTATAATGTACTTTATGAGAGGCTTTAGAAAACATAAACTGAATGAATAGACACATTTACCATCTGAGTTTAAAACTTCTAGATTAAAAATATAATATATTATTGTGGTTTGATTGTCAATGTACTTGTTCATTATTGAGTTAAGTCCAGATCTTACGCTAGAATTCTATGCTTTCTCTCTCTACATGTGGAGGACGGAAGAAGGTAAGAGGTTATTTGGGTTTTTCCCAGAAAAATGAATTGGTCTAACTTACATGGGCAAACATAATTGTCAATGCCTCCCTGAGTTTATTGAAAATGATTGTACCCAACAAAAAGCATTTTGTTTCTCTTACTCAACACTTTAATTTGTGGCTTGACCAGTAGTTAAGCAAGTGAAATGCCAGATGAAGCAAACAAAAGCTGCCTTTCTGTCTCAGATAGTCTTCTTATTACATCCATTACACACATTTAAATCAGAGTTAAAGTTTTCTGTAGGAGGGCAAGCAAAACTGGTGAAGAAAAAAAAAAATCCCTAAACACTAAAACAAAGATTATTCAATGCTCTAACTTAACTCTCTGCCACTGACTATCTAGCTCACCCAAGGCAAATCATTTTACTTCTCTGGGGTGAGTTCCCTCCCAGATAAAACTGTCCTGTACAATCTCTGAATTGTGTATCCTACTAGTAAATGCTACTAGTTTTACTCATTTTCACTCACCTTGGTTATTACAGCCCAGCTTAGTAGCTTGTGGGCTTGCCTGGGGGCTCTGACAGTGAAGAATCTGCCTGCAACGCAGGAAATCCAGGTTTGATCCCTGGGTCAGGAAAATCCCTTACAGAAGGGAATGGCTACCCACTCCAGTGTTCTTATCTGGAGAATTCCATGAACAGAGGAGCCTGCTGGGCTACAGTCCATGGGGTCACAAAGTGTCAGACATGACTGACTGACACTTAATAGCTTGTAATTTAGCACTATTATGAATTTCTAGTCTCAGTTTTCATTTTTGTCCTTTGCTATTCTATTACCCATCTCTTGTTTCACCACCTGTAGATCTATTTTTGGCAAATAATTTCATATTCTCTAGAACAGGTGTTAGACCTTAGCTTGCATCAAAATCAGCTGGCTGGGTTGGGGGGCAGAGGAATCTGTTAATGCACAGATTGCTGAGCTGATTCCCTAGAGGTTCTGATTCAGGAAGTCTGGGACAGGACACAGGATTATACTACTTAACATCCAGATCATCCAGGTGATGTAGACCCTGGACGCTGTAGACCCAACAACCATTTGAAGACCTCGGCTCTACAGAATATAAAAAAATGTTGACAAACATTATCTAAGGGTCAATCAGTAGCAAAGGTTACCTCAATGTAACTCTGAGAACAGCCACTTTGGCCTTCCAGCTCCACAAGGGTGAAGTTGACCTGTATTTGCTCTCCTGGGGGCTGCTTTATGGTGTAGACGCATTGTCTGTCATGCATGAAAGGTCCAGACAAGTCGGCAGAGAGAAGACCCTCTGGGTCTGTGTAGTTCCCTCCACACTGTAGATCCGCTAAACAGAGCACAGAAGAGAAGGTAAAGGTCACGCAAACAGACATTCCTCCAGCTCCCAGGCATGAGACACAATTGTTAAAATTATACACACATACATACCATCACACACCCACTCTATTCACCCTGAACAGACTTATGCTTTCATTACAAGATTTTTCAGCTTGACTTGTATTTGTGCGGCTATAGAAATGTGTGATCTAACTTTCAATCTGACATCCTCTTAGATAAATTGCTTTTCAAATGCACTTATGTTTTCCTGCATGCCAAAGAGGTTTGAGGCAGTTTATAAAACACATGTAACAAAATAAAATATATAACTAGAAAAATGAAACAGATAAAAGGAATAATGAATACAGAATAGCAAGATATGGTCGGCGGGGAGAGGGGGGAAAGTTGGTATGCACAGAAAACAGGTATGGGCTACAGAAATTACAGAAAGTCAGCAGCAGATTCAGCCTGAAGCCAAAATAAATGACTAGTAAAAAGCCAAAAGAAGACTAGTAAAAAGATTTTTTTTGTTATTTTTCCTGATATTGAGACTTAAAAGGTATTTCTCTTGTGAATTCTCATCAGGGCACAATGATGTATGTGAAGAACAAAATCCTCTACAGACCTAAAATAAAAAATAAAATGATGGAGCATTTCACTGTTTTTTTTTTGTTGTTGTTGTTGGTTTGCTTTAAGGTATCAATGCAAGTTAAAGGCAAAATAGTTAAAAATCTGACATATCTCAAGAGAGACTGCATTTCCCTTTTGTTTCTCCCAACAACACACCAAATAACAGCTAAGAAACTAATGTATGAATTATTTAATTTAAGGGGCCACACACATATTATTACCACACACATATTTACCATAATGTGGATCCCAGAATTTAGGGGTAAAGAGGTATTATAGCATTAATAATAGAACACTGGAAGAACAAAGAAATTTGTAGTAATGAGAGAAATATTTATAAATACACATGATCAGTATGAGTAAGTCATCCTCAGCCTCACAGTAAAATACAGAACAGTTATGAGCATAGCACTGTCCTTCAAGTTTATATTAAGCTCCCAGTCATCAAGGTACTTACAAGGTGATGTCAAGTAGGTGATAAGAAACCCTTGGTCATTAATCTGGTTGTCAGAATGGAAATGAATCCTGGCAAAGGGACCCGTAGTCTGGAGTGGGGGTGCAGAGAGAGTGGTGCAGAATTTCCCAAGAACAGGGTCCTGATGCAAAGGACCATCTCGAATCTAAAACAAGAGGAGTCATCATTACGTTCAAAGTGGTCAGATTTTAACAAGCCTAGCCATTTTGTACATTAACTTTAGAAAAACTCATCTTTTAAACGATGGCTCTGGGAGGTTCTCCTGTCACCTATGAATCCAGCAAACAGTTGGGGTTCAGGGAAGGGTAATCTCCTCCCATTATTCAGATGCCTTACATTCTCTCTGAATTTTAACTCTGAAGCTAAATGTATACTCTGAATTTGTCTCATGAAAAATTTTCAGTATTTTCTTTCCGAGGTTTTCCTTAACCCCAGGTGTTTGGTTTCTTTTAATTGTTCATTCATTCATTTATGGTTATGCCGTGCAGCTTGTGGGATCTTAGCTCCTAGACCAGAGATGAACCCTCTGCAATAAAAGCACCAGGTCCTAACCACTGAGATGCCAGGGAACTCTCCAGATGTTCATTTTGAAATGATAAATTCCTAATGATCAAGAAGAAGAAATGAATATAGGCAAAGAAAACAGAAGAAGAAGGAATGCCAGCAATATCTGCTGGCGCACAGCTTGGTCTAAATACTCAGGAGGATCAGAGATGGGAAAGGAAGTAATGTGAGACTAGCTGCAACATAAAAACAGTTTTGTTAATTTAAAAAGTGAAACTTTTAATAGTAATTGAGTACTGCACTAATTATGACTGACCTTAAGAAATCTTTTTAATGGCTGGGTTTTAATCTCTTAAATAATCATGCCAGCCATTCTATGATCCTGTTGTAATTGCAAATTCTGTACTGCATAGAACACCAGGACACCAATGAACTATATCATATTTTAATGTGACCAATTTTGTCCACTCAAATTATTTGTTCTACTGGTAGTGAAGTTATACGGCAGCATTACTTTATTCCAGTAATTTAACTAGCTCCTTGAAATATTCTTGAGAAATGAGAGGCATTTCAATATTATTGGAATGATTGGTCTTTTCCATTACATGCATATCCAGGAATTAACAAGTAGGAATGAAAAAACTGCCTCTAATTTGATATTAATAGAATATATTGAAATTAACTTCAAAAAATTTTACTTTAATGTCAACAGCTACAGGATTATCTTACTGAGATTTTCCAGTCATTCCCAAAGGTTTCAAATCCATTACATGTGCTTAATTACTAATGACTTCAGCTCATGGAGATTCCTGTCTGACAGCCATACACTTCCATTTTTATCAGTAATTCCACTATGCTCCATTCTTCTCTAATGGACTTGGGAAACCATATTATCTTTTATCACTGCTGCAAGGGACTCAGAGTTATGGTGGTAAACAAGATGGGAACAACATATGAATTCAATCTTCACAACGATCTTTTCAGTTTACAAATGGACAGCCATGTTTTTGATAGACCTACATGCTTACAGCATTTGAATACAACAAATGCCGCATGTTTCCTCTTTCACATCTTAATCTTTTACTAATGGTAAACTGGAGGGACAGAGGGTGACTTCTTTCTTCCCAGTGGCAATATCAATACAGCCAGTGAGGCACACCCTTCAGCAGTCCAAACACAATTGCTATTAGGTTATTTTTCTTCATGGAACCCTAGAGTCAACTTGTGAAACACCTTGGCAGTTTATAGCAGACAACGGAAGATTTGAATCTGCTATGGAGAAGACAGTCATTCTGGGGGGTTGATTTCATAAAATCTGCTATTTGCATGGGAAGAAACAGGGCTTCTGCGAAATGACAGGGGGAGGCAGGCAGTCTGCTTCCCACATTTAAATGGAGCCCATAAGAAAAAACAAGCTGGCACAACTAAGAATGGAGAGTTACCAAGAATTCCCTGGTGGCCCAGTGGTTAGGACTCCATACTCTCACTGCTGACAAAATAGGGAGTTAGCAAGATCTAGCTGTCCATCAGCTACCTATTGAAGAATAAATACACCTAACTATTGCTACAAATTTTGGTCATCCAAGGGCATCGCCAATAACAGTTCCCTGAGTTCTAATCATATCATGATAAATTCTATCTAAATGCAGTTGTTGGACTTCTCTGGTGGTGCAGTGGATAAGAATCTGCCTTCCAACATGGGGAACAGGTTCAACACCTGGTCTGGGAAGATCCCACATGCCCGGGAGCAACTAAGCCTATATGCCACAACTACTGAGTCCATGCTCTAGAGCCCCTGCTTCACAACAAGAGAAGCCACCGCAATGAGAAGCCCATGCACCACAACGAAGAGTAGCCCCAGCTCTCCGCAACTAGAGAAAGCCCACACACAATAATGAAGACCCAGCACAGCAAAAATAAATAAATAAATAAATAAATAAATGTATTTTTTACATAAATAAATAAATACAATGGTCTACCTCAAGATAATCTTTGCTACAGTCATCGTGGTGCTCCAGGCTTAAGGTCCCAAAAGTAAATGTGATCAGGAGGTCAGGACTAGTTATCACCCTCCAGACACAATCTCTTCCTGGTGGATACTTTCCAGGATACCCCGGAGACTTAATAGAACCGTAAGTTCCAGTCAGCATACCTCCGCACTCTGAAATAAGAGGAAAAAATAACTTTACATTTGTACGCAACCTATAATTCATGTAGAATTATCATAGCTTTTACTGCAAGAAGAAAGGCTTTGTATAAATAACTATGTGCAGTTTTGGACACCCTCATAAATTAAGCATGACCTTCTGTTTTCCAGTTTGATAAAGTTATAAAACCGGAGTACCGATAGATAAATAAATGAATCACCCGTTATCAAGCTCCATGCTTATTAGCCATCTCATGGTGATATGATTTAAAATGCAGTGCTGAACTGTCTGAGTGATGAATAATGAATGGGATGACAGATTTATTTTTTCACTTTGAAAGAGAATAATTCCTGTACATTAACTCTATTAAAGTACAGTTGATTTCCAATGTTAGTTTCAGGTATACAGCAAAGTGATTCAGAAAATATATATATATATTTATATATATATTATATATATAATATATATATATAGTGTATATATATAATAGTATAATATATAATATATATATATAGTATATATATATACTCTTTTTCAGATTTTTTTCTATTATAAGTTGTTACAAGATATTTAATATAGTTCCCTGGCCTTAACAGTAGGTGCTTATTGTTTATCTATTTTATACGCAATAGGGTGAATCTGTTAATACCAATCTCCTAATTTATCCCTACCCTTCCCTTTTGCGCATTAACTCTTAAAAATTTCTGGAACTTCTGTCAGCCCCTAAATCTTTCAACAAACTAGGTCATTTTATACATTAGAAAAATTCATTGCTACATAATTTTCATTTAAGAAGATTAGCAGTCTTAACCCTGAGATACAGACCATTCATTTTATAAATGAAGAAATTCACATATCTATGGGTAGTTGAACCACCTTCCCAGGAATGGAGTTGGGGAAGAATGGCATCTGGCTTTCTGACACCCATTCCACCACCTCACCTCCACTATACTCCACTAACCCCCTAAAATTGCATATCATCTGCGGTGGCTATTGTATGTTACTATAAAAATAGAAAAAAAAAAACAGAAATCTAGATATAAATCTAGACTGGAGTAAATATAAATTAGAAAAAAAGTAAAATAAAGTGACATTTCAAATATACAAGTTGTGAAATTCACATAGCCATGCAGGTTATTAAAAAAAAATTCCGCTACCAAGGCCAAAAGTGAAACAAATTTAGTTACATGATTCTCACTGTTTCTAATGAGAAAACATCTCAGTTGCTCAGAGGAAGAAAAGCTTTTTTAAAACTTAGTATTTAAAAAATTATCATATAAGTAAAAAAAATAAAGAAAGTGCCATAAGCAAAGCAAAATATTAATAGAAAGCTAGGGAAAACATAGTATATAATACAATGAGTTACTATCCCTAAAATCTGAAAAGCTTGTAAAAAGAATAGAGATATAAACAAAGAGGTCACTGAAAAGTGAAAAGGACCTTCTGATGTAGTTATTTTTGCAAAAACAAAACTGAATTTGATCAAACACTCCCTGTGTGCATTTCTCAACCAGCAGTGCAGGGCAGTGGGGCCAAAACAGCAGCAACAGCAATACTCTTGCTGGTGAAAGAAGTGAAACTCAGATTGCTGGACCACGAAAGTGGCTGGGGCTTACGAACAGAGTATTACAGAAAAGGCAGCTGCATGAAAATAGCATCCAAAATATGTGTCCTTGGGTCCTTAGCCAAAGCCTAAGCTGAAAACACAAAGGGGAAGACTGCAGACCAACAGGAAACAGGAGACAAAGCCCAAACCTCTGTGTGCAATTTGAAACCCAGAAGGAGAGAAGGGAGGGAAAAAAGGGCAGAAGCAGAGGAGAAAATCATATCTCAAAAGATTTAGAAAAAGTATTTAATGTTTTAGCATCCATTCACAATAAGCTAGAAATAAAAGGTGATAGTTGAAAATGTTCATAAATTCTTTGGCACTTCTCCCATGGAGAAGTTGGGTCTGTGGCTCTTCCTCTTGAATATGGGTGGGCTTATGACCACTTCAAACAATTTTTTTTTTCTTTTCTTTTTTATCTTTTGGCCACACCACACAGCTTATGGGATCTTAGTTCCCTGACTAAGGACTGAATCCACATCCTTAGCAGTGAAAGCACAGAGTCTTTCTTAGCCACTGGACCTCCAGGGTATTCTTGTGACTGCTTCAACCAGTTAAAAATATAGCAGAAATACAATATGACCTCTAAGGAAGGTCAATAACAGTTATGTGGCACCTGCCTGGTCCTGTTGTAATGCATATTCTGGGAGAAGCCAATGCTGGGAAGAAGTTCCACTACAGGGGCTTCCACTACTAAGACCACCACAGGAGGGGGGCTACAGGTAGCATTCAAGTCAACAGCCTGGTTGAGTTCTCATCCAGAGGCCAGCACCAATTGTCAGCCAAATGACTGAGTCATATTGGATGTCCAGCCTCACTGAGCCTTTAGGTGACTACAGTCCCAGCCAATATCTGATTATAACTGCTTAAGAGGTCAAGTGATAATTGCTGTGCTGAGCCCTTTCCAAATTCCTGGTCCACAAAGTCAGAAATATAATAAGATGATTAATGCTCCACAATGCTAAATTTGTGAGTCATATGTTATCCAGCCATAATCATTCAGAGTGAACTTTCTTAATGTAATAAAAGCTACTTACAAAAACTTAACAGTTAAAACATTACATTTAAAGGCGGAATACTGAACATTTCCCCATGAGGTTGGGAACAAGACAATGATACTCACTCCATCACTTTCATTCAGTGCTGTATTAGAAATTCTGGCCAAGCAAAGAAATAAGTCAAGGAAAAGAAACAACAGTTACAAAGATTGGCAAAAGAATAGAAAAACAGGTTACATAACAAATTCACAGATAATATCACTGTGTATGTATAGAAATCCAAAAGACTCTACTGAAAAATGGTTAGAATTGATGCGTGAATTAGCAATACAGCTGAGTTCAAAACCAAATATTTTAAAATAAGTATACACAGGATATCTCTATATATTAACAACAAATGAAAAAAAATTAGAAAAACAATATCATTTAACAAAATATTAAATAGCTAGGGGAAGAAATTAACAAAAACTGTGGAATACTTAAGTATGGGAATCTACTAACCATTGTTAAATTAGAAGAGAACTAAGAAAATAAAGAAATAGCCCATGTTCATGGATTGTCAGGGTCAATATTTTTAAGAAGTCATTTCTTCCCAAATTCATTACAGATTCAACAAGACTTGAACTGAAGCAGCAGGTTGTTGAGGGAAGTTAACAAGTTGCATGTGGAGTGATCTAGCATATTATTGAAGAACAAGGGTAGAGGTTTTACACAACCAGATTTCAAGCTTCACTACTAAGCCAATGAATGGGGCACAAGGATAAATAAACCAATAGAAAAGATGAGAAGTTTCAGAAATAGATTCACAAATTTATTGATGAATGAAATAGAGGTTCAGTGTGCTGTTCTCACTTTTTTATGTTAAAAAAAATTCATAGTAAAAAAGTTTAAAAAATAGAGAACCAAAAACAAGCTAACCACAAAGGAACAAATCATCATGTGACATGAAGATAAAAAAAAGAAAAGTACTAAGTGAAGGAAGAGGCAGAGTCCTCAATAACATCCCTGCAGTATTTACTAGTTAGAGATTATAAAATGCTGTTTAGTAATTTCATAAGGGACCCTTTAAGACTCATGTTGTTTAAACTCTTTAAGTTCATCTAAATTTTATTATTTCTGAACACAAAATGGAAGGCCACTGCATTTTGTTTTTTTTTATTTTAAAATAATTAAAGAAATTATATATCACTAGATCTCAAAACAGCTAAGGTATCCAGAAGTCTAATACTGATCAACAATTTATGTCACCTCAAGAGCCTGCTTTATTTCTCTCCGTGTTTACACTTACCTGGTAGCTGTGTTTCCCATCTTATCGTAAAGCCTCTTTCACTCCTTAAATGTTCAGAATAGAGATGAAAATAGAGGGCGTTATCACTACTGAGGAGCTCGTGAGGGGGGTTGGAGCCACAGAATCGTCCGAGCTGATGTGCTGCAGAGGAATCTCCATCGTGAATCTGAAGAAACTCGTGTGGACAGTTGTTTGTGGGTTCTAACTGAAAAAAAGTGAAAGTGATCCGCAGTACCTGAAAAAAGAAAAAAGGTCATAAGAGATTATTTTTTACTTCTATGTTAATTCTAAAGAATTTCTCCTACTAATTGGAAGCATTTCTATTGAGTCCCTTTCAAGAGACAGATCTATAATTTCCTATTACCTAATTATCCACAAATATGTGTGAAAGTTGTGTTAAAAATTGCTTAGACGTAACTTCAGCTAATATAAAAAAAATCTCAATATTAACAAGATAGATTTGTAATGGCTTTATTGAGGTACAAAGAACTGTACATATTTAATGTGTACAGTTTGAGAAGTTTGCAAATATGTGAACACCTGTAACACCATCAATGGAGTCAATACAATAGACATAACCAACAGCTTCCAATTTCCTTCTCTTTCTCTCTCATTTTTTTCTCTCTCTCTCTTTCTCATAAGAACATGGCATGTGATCTACCTTCTTACATTTTGAGTGCACAATGCTGTATTGTTACCTATAGGAACAATGTTGTATGGCAAATCTCTAGAACTTATTCACCTAGTGTAACTACCCATTAAATACCCATTAAGTTATTGTTCAATGGGTTAATGAAATAGATTTACCTAGATTTCATTAATCATAAAGTTCATTAAACAAAGTCACTCCAAATGTATAGCTAACAGTACTTCCAAATCAGTAACATATGATATCTACTTTGAGTTAAATTTAACTGACTAATAAATAGCCTGCAGCCTACTCATAATTTATCAGTGACCCCAGGGATGCTGATTCCTTTGTTGTTGCTCAGTTGCTCAGTCATGTCTGACTCTTTGTGACCCCATGGACTGCAGCACACCAGGCTTCCCTGTCCATTACCATCTCCCAGAGTTTGCTCAAACTCATGTGCATTCAGTGAGTGATGCCATCCAACCATCTCATCCTCTGTCGTCCCCTTCTCCTCCTGCCTTCAATCTTTCCCAGCATCAGGGTCTTTTCTAATGGGTCAGATCTTCACATCAGGTGGCCAAAGTATTGGAGTTTCAGCTTCAGCATCAGTCCTTCCAATGAATATTCAGGGTTGATTTCCTTTAGGGTTGACTGGTTTGATCTACATGCAGTCCAAGGAACTTTCAAAAGTCTTTTCCAACATCACAGTTTGAAAGCATCAATTCTCTGGTGCTCAGCCTTCTTTATGGTCCAACGCTCACATCTATACAGGACTAGTGGAAAAACCATAGCTTTGAACAGATGGATATTTGTTGGCAAAATAACATCTCTGCTTTCTAATATGCTGTCTAGGTTGGTCATAGCTTTTCTTCCAAGGAGCAAATGTCTTTTAATTTCATGGCTGCAGTCACCATCTGCAGTGATTTTAGAGTCCAAGAAAAGAAAGTCTGTCACTGTTTCCATTGTTTCCCCAGCTATTTGCCATGAAGTAATGGGACTGGATGCCATGATCTTAGTTTTTGACATGTTGCTTTTAAACCAGCTTTTTCACTCTCCTCTTTCAACTCCACCAAGAGGCTCTTTAGTTCTTCTTTGATTTCTGCCATAAGGGTGGTGTCACCTGCATTTCTGAGGTTATTGATATTTCTCCCGGCAATCTTAATTCCAGCCTGTGCTTCATCCAGCCCAGCATTTCACATGATGTTCTCTGCATATAAGTTAAATAAGCAGGGTGACAATATACAGTGACGTACTCCTTTCCCAATCTGGAAGCAGTTCATTGTTCCATGTGTGGTTGTAACTGTTGCTTCTTCACCTGCACACAGGTCTCTCAGGAGGCAGATAAGGTGGTCTGATATTCCCATCTCTTTAAGAATTTTCCACAGTCTATTGTGAATCAAAGGCTTTAGTGTAGTCAAGGGAGCAATAAATGTTTTTCTGGAATTCTCTTGTTTTTTTTCTATGATTGGACATTGGCAATTTGATCTCTGGTTCCTCTACCTTTTCTAAATCCAGCTTGAACATCTGGAAGTTCACAGTTCATGTACTGTTGAAGCTTAGCTTGGAGAATTTTGAGCATTACTATACTAGCATGTGAAATGAGTGCAATTGTGTAGTAGTTCAAACATTCTTTGGCATTGCCTTTCTTTGGGATTGGAATGAAAATGGAGCTTTTCCAGTCCTGTGGCCACTACTGAGTTTTCCAAATTTGCTGGCACATTGAGTGCAGCATTTTAACAGCATCATTTTAGGGTTTGAAATAGCTCAACTGGAATTCCATCACCTCCACTAGCTTTGGTCATAGTGATGCTTCCTAACACCTACTTGACTTCACGCTCTAAGATGTCTGGTTCTAGATGAGCAATCACACCATTGTGGTTTACCATTGTGATAACCATTGTGATTATCTGCATCATTAATATCTTTTTTTAATAGATATTCTGTGTATTCTTGACACCTCTTCTTAATATTTTCTGCTTCTGTTAGGTCTATACTACTTCTGTCCTTTATTGTTCCCATCTTTGCATGAAATGTTCCCTTGGTATCTCTAATTTTCTTGAAGAGATCTCTAGTCTTTCCCATTCTATTGTTTTCCTCTATTTCTTTGCACTGAGAACTTAGAAAGGATTTTTTTTATCTCTTATTGCTATTCTTTGGAACTCTGCATTCAGATGGGTATATCTTTCCTTTTCTCCTTTGCCTTTCACTTCTCTTATTTTCTGAGCTATTAGGAGTCTCTAAACCTCTCAACTGATACCCAGCCTGGATGGATGGCCTAGGGTGTAGGCCTGTATAACCGGTATTCATCTTTGGTGTTTGGATGTCATCAAGGGATGAGAAATACCAAGAGCAGACATCAGGGGAAAGGTACTATGAAGAGTTCTGAGTATGCAAGTAGGTGAGAATAAGCATATAAATAAGTCTCCAAGTTAAAATGTTAGACTGTGCAGACTTGAATATAGTAATATGACTAGTGAAACATAAAAGATTTTGTGCCAACAACCTCATCTGAAACAGCCAAACTATTAGAAGGTGGTTGTTGAAAGAATCTAATTTATGATCTAAAACCACCACAGCATTCAGCTCATGAAAAAGGGAATCAGGATGTTTTTGAAATGCTATGCTAGGGTACTTTTAAGACCTCTTACCCAACATTACATCATTTTTGTCCTTGAAGCAATTTCAATGAAAATCAAATAAACGTTTATAAATTGAAGTATCCTTATTTCAATATTATATAAACTGCATTATGTAAACTGTAATGGGGATAAGAAAATTCACAATAATCAAGAAAAACAGCATGAAGTATTTTTACAAGTTCACAAGAAAAGCATTAAAATTTTTTCACAAAATGATTTTTTCTTGAAAGAAACATGTTTTCAATGTCAGGAAACAGAATTCATGAAAACTAAATGGAAGGAAGGAAATTCACATAACATACCCGCTGGGAGATCGACTTTGGAGTTTACTCTATTGTGGGATCACCAGACCCCAAAGAATCCTTGCTCAGGGGAAAAAATATTTCTGACCTTGACAATGACCTCTGCAACATTAGTTTGCTGGGAAAAGTTAATAGTATTTCAAGGGAAAGCCTTAGCTAGTCAGACATATAACTTTAATGAGTCCATGAGTTGGTTGAGAAATAAATATTTGGAAAAGTTTGAGTAATGCTGGAGATAAAAGCACTAAAAACCTTGGGCTAGGATCTTAATTTGAAGACCATTTGCCCAGCAGTCCAGTCACTGGAGTCGAATGGCCTGGGTTCAGGTCCCTGCGGGCCACTTAAAGACCTCACACCCCTGGACAGACGTCTCAGCTGCTCAAGGGTAAATGAGGTGATGGGAGTTAAAACGCAGTAATTAAACATATGTAAAGCAATGAACACAGCACACTTGGAGAGTGTGCTATCAGAGAAGACTTGGATGAGGAAACCATCTTAACAGCAGTCCCCATTTTGGCATAATGATCAACAAAACATTGAATGATCACTACGAGTTTGGTAACAATATGACTTTACAAATGGCTGACTTGCCATGTAAAGAAGTGTCTGTATTGGACAAAGCACAGGCTTTGAAATACAAACGTGACTTTAAAATCCAACTAGTCCAGTTACCAGCTAAAGGGTGTTTTTAAAAACACTGCAAAGCTCACAATTCAACTTCTTTTCCTCTGCAGTGTGTGGAGAGTCCCTCTTGAGGATGAATGGAAGCTTTTCCAATTACTTAGCTTCTCATAGTTTCCATTATTTCATCTACACAAATGAGGATACCAATATTTCAATTAAAAGAGTTAGTGTAAGTTTTCGAGAAAGGTATACAATTTACTTAGCCCAAAGCCTGATACTTAGAAAGTCCTCAATATTTTGCTGTTGTTGTTCAGTTGCCGAGTTGTGTCTGACTATTTGTGACCCCATGGACTGCAGCATGCCAGGCTTCCCTGTTCCTCACCATCTCCTGGAGTTTGCCCAAGGCCCTCAGTATATGACGGTTGAATTATCATTATATGTAAAATAATGTAATATATACAGGTAGTACATACTCATACATATAAATGAAACACAATGTGGCTGGGAGACGTTGTATTTACCTTTCCCTCTTCAGTTTGGATAACCCAGAAGCAGTTAATGTCATGAGCATAAGCAACATCAGGGCTCACGAAGCTGAAGCTTCCGTTCATCCCCGAGAGGGACTCTCCACACACTGCAGAGGAAAAGGAGTTGAACTGTGCTTTTCAGAGACTCTGAAAAGGAGGAGGCCAGGCACTCCCACTCTGCCCCTGAAGGCTTCAGAGAGTCTGAGTAACTCATGTTGGAGACAAAAGCCTGCCATTCTTTCTCATCGTCTCCTTCTTCCTTCAACATCCACTCAACTCCCACCTTGGGCTCAGAGTCCAGCTTATGCCTCCTCATCTCCACCTGAATTTCCCTGCCTCTCAGGGTTTCCTCTGGCCCTCATTCCCTCTGCATCTGCAACACCTGGCCCCACACAATTTAATTCTTATCTTTAATTTTTGTCTCCCCTCTGCCATATCAACCTTGTCTCCTCAACTGGAAGAAAAGCTGAAAGTAGGTGGAGACTATTTTATTTTCTTATTTTTCCGCAGGGTCTACCAGAGTCCTAAACACACAATAAAGCCTCAGTAGATGTGCTGATTCAAAATCAGGAGGAATGAGGGAGAGGAGGAGCGGGTGGAAGAGGTTTATGGAGAAGGCTGAATATGAAGCCCTCCTTGGGGACAGATACATTCTGATGGGAAGCAAAGAAGGACTTCGGAGAGGTTTAGGGAGAGAAATTTTCCAAACAAAGGAACACAGCAGAAATGTGGTGGCACATGGCATCAGGAGATAAGGAAAGCAGTCTGGCTTGAAAGGGCATATTTTTAGGGAACTAGTGAAGAAAAGGTTAGATGGTTAGGGTGAGGCTTGATTGTAGAGGATGATTGAAAAACAGTCTCCCAGGTTCATTCACAGTGTAATATTAACTCTCATTTCACTAGATGATTTGCATGTTATCTAGTAACCTTCAGTACCTTCATTTGGCATTGGGAGGTATACATAGTTTTCTCCATTTTATAAAAAAGAAAACTGAAGTTCAGAAATTAAGCTACTTCCTTGAAACTGTGGCTACTAAATGGAGAATCTGAAAAATCCAGAAATGCAGAATCCAAAGGTTGTCTTCTTTGTGCTATAATTCACTCTTTTATATTATTTTAAGTTTAAATGTCTTTATTCCACAACTAAACTCCTTGAGGGCAAAGGCTCTTTTATATAGTTATAAGAATATATATTTTTCACGTATACTCCTTTTATATTCCTCAGTATGCTAAAGACATTTTTTTATTTTAAATTTAAAAAAGCAAACTAAACAAACCAAAAAACCAAAAACAAAAGACCTAGTCCTGATCTTTATTTAATAGGCAAAAGGGAGCCACTGTGTATTTTAGAACAGGAGAGTGACATGAGTATTTGTAATGTTCCAGGGAAATGAAACGGCTGCTATAGAGAAGACTCTCCCTTAGAAAACTACAATAACTTAGTATAGTTTGCTTTCAAAAGGGACATTATGAAAATGGAAAATATTAATCTTTTCTTTGATGAAAAGATTTGTATGGCTTAAGTTGAATTTACCTTATCTTACCTTGTGAATTTCAAACCATTTCTGCAAGGGAAGACTTTAGTTCTAAGCCTTTGAGCAACTGAACATGACTGCAGGTTGTTCAGTGGAAAAGCTACAGCAGGACACACTCAAGGACAACACTCCTAAACTGTGGGCATCTGTGGTATAAGAGATGCTAAGTGTACCTTCCTGGGGAATGTGACAGAGAAATCCAGTCCAGAAATGTGTGCATTCACAACTGAAAGCATTAACGCCGTCCACACAGGTTCCCCCATTCAGACAGGGGTTGCTCAGACACTCATTGATATTTTCTGTGCAGTTGACACCAGTCCAGCCCGATTCACACTCACAAACATAAGCAGAGACTGTTTCCTAAGGAAAGAAGAAACACCATGTCACAGAATGGAGGGACAGACAGTAATCATGAACCAACCTAAGTAATAAAGAACAGCATGCTATGTATTTCAAGGAGAAGGTGTTGAACTACAAGCATCTTCCAGGAGCCTAACTACTAATTCATTTAAATGTTAATTCCAAAGAATAAGAAATTAGATGTATTTGGGTCAAACTGTAGGCTTTGTTTTACTGCTTTGTAAATCACTGAGAGGAAAAAAATGAGCTCATTGGTTTTTCCTGGGAACTAAAGTCATTACCTGCCTTTTATCTGAAAGCTATTGACAACTCTTTATCTTAAGCTTGAATCATTACCTTAAAACTCATAAATCATAGAAAACGTGTTGCACAGAAGTGAACTAAATTTATTCTTCAGCACTCAGTTCCCTTAGGAAGAACAAAAGACTCACAATGCATTGTCCATTTACACAGGGCTGACTCAGGCACATATTACTGAGTTGCACACATCCCTTTGGCCCATAACCATTTCCAGTATATCCCGGAAGACAAGTGCAAAGAGGTAAGGAACCTGTTTGGAAATAGAAATGGAAATGTAAGTGCAGGTCTCCTTCACTCAGATCCAGGAACAAAACTCAAGTTCTGTGGTCTAGATAAGGAATCCTCAAAGTCTGCGCATACCCGGGGGCAGACAAGGCAAAGTGTGAGGTGAAAAGATTTAGAATCTTTTTTTCCCCTAGCTTTTAATCTTAAGAATAAGAAAGACAGGACACATTATCAATACTTTATTTACAGATTGACACTAATGCTATCAGTCCCTATGTCATAGTCCTGAGTTGTAAAAAAAAAAAAACGTGAGGCCCAGCAAGGGGAAAGGGAGTTTCCTATCAAGGAGGGGTTGGCAGCAGGAAAGAGCATTCCTGCAATGATGGTATCTGTACACACATACTGAGCCCTAGAAATACATACTATTATAAAATCTCCATTTACGGGTGAAGACAAAGCACAAAGAGATTTAAGTGCCTTGATCACAGACCCATAGATAGAACATGGTGGAGCCAACGGAAAAATAAAGTGCAATCTTCTAGAATTCACCTCCTAACCACTTCAGTAGGCTGTTAATCATTTAGCAAACACTTAAATAGTCATACATATATATTTAATATGTGCATACATACACATTTATATTCTCTGATATATATGTGAGATATATGTGACGTGCATATATATGACAAGTTAAGAAAATAAAGGCAGTAAATAGCATGAGATATGATATATAATTCAATAAATGGAGTTGGAGACACCTATTTGGACAAAAACATCAAACTAGATTTCTATTTGATGCTATAGATAAAAATAAATCCTGAAAAGATCAAAGATTTTAACATTAAAAATAAATGAAAGTAAGAAGGACCATGTGTCAATACTTGACTTTCAAAGAGTTTGGTAGGGAAGGTCAAATTCTAAGAGAAGAAATGCTAAAATGAAAGATTTACTTTTTTGACCACATAAAAATTTTAAACTTCTAAATAGAAAACACTACCATAAAATTAAAATAAAAACCACATGCCAAGAAAAATATATATAAAATATAAAATAATGAGATAATATCCTCATAGTACAAAATGAAATTTCACAGGTCAGTAAGATAGCAGATGAATAAAGGACCTTAAAAAAATTAAATGGCTAGTAAATATGTGAAATTTTTCATTATTTAATTAGTACTAATCAAAGTTTTTTGACTCGGTCAAAATTAAAATAATGAGAAGGAAATTTTTGCCTAAGAAATTGATGAAAATGAAAACTCACTATAGTACCCATTATTGTCAAGTGTGGGGTAAATGTATATTTCTACAGACTGTTAATAAACATATAAATTATTTATTCTTGAAAAAAAAAGTTTAGTAATATGCATGTATTTTTACATGCATATTTTTACATGCACCTTCGCAGGTGAAGCTTTTATGCAACACTGCAGACCCGGAAGAATTTTGCCCTGGATCCATTTTTTTCCTTTCTTAGTAGGGAACTCTTTATTTAACTCTTTCTTTTAACTGAGGGTGTGGGCACCTGGAATAAAGACTATATATTTCCCAACCTTCCTTGCAGCCACACTTAGCCATCTCACTCAGTCAGGCCAAAGGCCCAGAAAGGGGAATCCTTAGAGACAACTGACATGTTCTTCCTTTCTCCTCTTTTCCTTGCTGCTTAGGAAATACTTGCAAAAACTAGAGCAGATCATAAAAAATCCAATTGTATAGTTTTATAACATGGATTGATTTTTGGTTTGAAGACCAAAGTAAGAATTTTGAAAATAGAGGATTTTGATTTTAAAATGTTGATTTGCTTTAGAAGGTCATCCTAAAATACCCCAAACCAGAGGGAGAGGTGAGTCATTACCTAGAGCCGAGGAGCATGATGCCTGTGGGTGGCAGCCTCCGTTATTGACCGAGCAGCTGTCTATGAGCGTGCAGACTCTCCCATCGCCCTGATACCCTGAGCACAGCAAGAGCAGACAAGTGAAAAACAATGTCAGCAACATGCAAGAAGAAGAATCCTGATCTGAGAATCAAATATCAGGACCCAGACCAACCAGAGATCTTCCATTATCAAAAGAGAAAATGTAAATAAAATATGTCATAAATAAAATTACACGTTGAGAAAATGGACAACAAGAATTAGGAACCTAATTTTGGAAACAATGTTCAGGGTTGTTTCTAATGACAAAAATTAAAAGTAAAATACATATGAAAACTATGGAGAGACAGAAAGTGCTGACTCTAAGGAAGTGACATTTTTTAATCAGTGACTTCAAAGCTTTTAGCTGAATTATTTTAAAAGTCCAAAGGAAAAAAAAAAGTCCAAAGTACTGCTGTTTCATGTTAATAAAACATACAGGGTTTCGATTTGCCCCTTAGAACTCCCTGAACTTCTTGGATAGTAACTCAATTTAGATTACAAAATAGGAGTCATGACTTCTTTCTGGAAGAGAAAGGAAATGCACGTGTATAATATGCCTACCATTAGGTCTGGTATTTAGTAAACTTTATATGGAAAACATCTCATGAATTCACTATATTAATAAACTGTGGGAACAATACATCTGTGATCCATAGAGAAAACCTGTCAAGTTCTTCATTATTTCAAGAAGCCATCTCACAGTAAAGGCTTATTATTTTCCATTGATACACAAAGTAACTTTTCTGTCTTTCTTATAACACATACTAATGTATCCTGGATCCAGAAGTCAAACTTTTTGCACTATTCAGCTTGCTTCCTTAGACATAAGTCACATTTACAATGGAACACAAGATCCTGTTTTCAAATGCACATTGTGTCTGTAACGGTATCAGGAAATTTGGTGTAGCACCTGGTGGACATGGATGACAGCGGTAAGAACCAGCTGTATTTATACACTCCACAAGTGGAGCCACAGAACATCCGCCATTGTTTATCTCACATTCATTGATATCTTCGCAAACGTATCCATTTCCTTGCCAGCCTAGAAAAACAGGAGGTTTGAAAAGTTAGTTAAAAACACGTAAAAACCTGCTTAACTATGTAAAGAAACACAGGTTAAAATGGTATATATTCTACCTTTCAGATCGGCAAAAGCTGCTTTAAATATAATCAAATTCCTGCAAAGAGGTGGGCACTTCAGGTAGTCTTATATGCTATTAAGAATCAGAAGTTAGATTAGTTAAACCTATTTGGAAACAGACCTAGCCACGTTCATTAAAGATTTTAAAATACATAACTTTTGACTAATAGTTCCACTTCTGAAAACTTATTCTACAATGATAAAATTGTCATCAGGTTTTATCTGAAAGCAGATAAACTGTCAATTTATCATTTATAAAGATACAGGTAAGTCTACTACAGCATTGTTTAATGGGGAAAAAAAACTCTCAATGGTACACAGAGACATATACTGAATATACTATGAATATAATATAATACTATGAATATAATATACCGAATATAATATCATCTATACCAATGGATGCTAAAAGCTATTTTTAATACTATGTGCACACATTGAAGGATTTTCCCATATATATTTTAATGGAAAACATCGAATTTTAGAAATGTATGCAGAGCTATGATCACAGTTTGGGGAAATAATTTTTTTTAAAACCTGCATATTGGTCTGTATGTCTGTATAAATGAAGGAAAAGGTAGAAGAGGAGAGAGACACAGGGTTTTCCGATGACACACCAAGGTGAGGACTACTAGACTCTAGTTGAAGGAAAGTTACCCAGCTCAAAATAGCCTGGAGTTAAAACTCCCCTCTGGGTCCTTCCCACCATTCTATGCAAAACAAAGAACTCTCTCACTGGAAGAAAGAAAATGGACGATAAGGCTGATTATGCCCAGCTCCCAACCCGTCCCAGCCTCTGGCTGATCTCCAGAGTTCCTTGCCCCAGCCGTTTGAGAGATAAATACTCTGAACAACCTTGGAGAAGAACAGGCCCCCTTAAGACAGTAGATTTCCACATAGATGCCTAGATATACTTACTCTTTTCTTGGGTCAGTGCAGCAGCTCACTAATCTGACTGCTGCCCCTTCTCGCCTCATTAAAGGTGATCTGTTCCTGTAAAGTGCTGGTCTTGTTCTTTTTCCGAACCTCGCCTTCTCTAACTCCCTTACCCTACACTAGTGAACACACTCAGAGATCAATTTGCCCAGGTTTACAAACAGCTGGCTTATATGAAAGGTGGGACCAGAGCATGTGTCTTTTGATCTCAAATCTAATCAAGGTCACGGCCACAGCAATAAAATGACTGACCTCCCAAACTCTACAGCTAATCCTGGCCCTGCCATTTAACTCTACCACTCTTTGGGACAAGCCAACCATTTCTTTCATTAAACTGCTGCAGCAGTTAGATGGTCTGGAGTGGGATCTAGTGAAATGGGACATGAAACTGGATTGGAAGGCATCCTGAGAACAGCTTTATCCCTCAGCAGTGAAAGGAAATTGGTCCTGCCATCTTGCTTGACTGGCATGGGGAGCCTGGCACCTGAGCCCAGGAGGGGACACACCCACGTACCTGTGGGGCAGGCCCCACAATAGAAGGAGCCTGGGGTGTTGAAACACTGCACATGTTCTGAGCAAGGTGCAGGCCAGAGGTTGCACTCATCTATGTCCAGTGTACAGGCCGTGCTGTTCGACGGGGCCTTCCACCCAGCATCACAGATGCAGCTGTACTCGGGCTGGAGGAGCAACAAAGGTGTGAAAGCAGGCAACCAAGAAAACAACCAAGAACAGCCTTTGAAAAATCTCATGGAGCCCGCAACCAATTCCTCCTCTCACGTTCATTTCCATGAGACCAATCGAGTGGCTTCTCTTTTTCTTCCCACATGATTAAGCATTTAGACCAGACCATGCAAAAAGAGAAACGGCTTTATTTCAGAGTAAGGGAAACCTATAATTTGCCCCCAAAGATGCCTGGGGAAAAGCAACAACAATCAAGAGCTGTAAGTCAATATAATTAAAGTCAATCAGTTCAGCCTGCTTTTAGAGGGAAAAACATCCATGTAGTCACAGACCTCCGAAAATCAATTCTGTTTGTTTCCTTTTTGAAGGTCACACACACACCACCCTCCCACCATGGCTGGAAGGGAACCTTTTTCCATCACATGAGCAGGGAAAAAACAACAACAACAACTAAAAATAAATACCTGAAGGTCTCAAGGAAGGCCAATTGGGCCAGGGCTGGATGACCTTCTGGGCCAGGAATCAAGGTCAGCACAAGGGATACTTAGAGAAGTGGGCTCAAAGGGGCTCAGGGGCCAGGACAAATGCAGGCTCCTTAAAACAGAATGTCACAAACAAGGGCAGGACTTTTGTGTTGCCATATCTTGTCATTGTTAAAACTCACAAGGCCAAGAGAAGATCATGTCTCACAGCGAGAGTCATGGGCAAATAATAAAAATATGAGTAATTTAATGAAATCAGCCTCTGGGTCCTGTTTTCTGCTTACTTAGGGACAACCCTCATCACCTTCCTCATCTGAGCCCAGCTGAAGGGTAGGACGTGACTCCCCTCTGCACCCCACAGGGTCCTGTGGGGACACACACAGCTACAGAGAACAAGGAACTAATAACCAGCCTCCCCCGCCATCCCCGAGGGGCCCACGCTGGAAGGGACCCACCTCTCCAGCCTTCACTCGGACCAGATCCTCGCAGATGCCGTGGACGCAGCGTGCCTTGGAACCCCCCTCACAGTCATCATATTTGGATGCACACTGGGGGCCGTGGGTCTCAGGTGAGCAGAGACAACTGTTGGTCACACAAAGCACAACTCAGGAGCTGTTTCTTAGCATCAGTTAAAAAAATCAATAATAATTCTGATTGCAGGTCAGTGATATGCACACAGAATCATAAACCAGAAAACCAGATTTACTGGCTGGAGTCTTAGAAGAAAGTCACTCTGCTCCTCTTGAAGTGGCAGACTGAGTAAATGTGCTGTCATCTCAAATACGAGATTAGAGGGCACAACTACCTCTATAAATTCTTCTGCTATCAGGTCAAACAGCACTGTCAAAGGTCAGACAACTATGAACTAAGGGGGATAGAGTTCATTCAGGATGGTAGAGATCATCGGGTCCATTCATTGGCCACCCAGCTGGCTCCTCCAGTAAGCACAGGTGACCTTGATTGAATGGGTAAATTCTCAAATATACTCTACGTTTGTATAACCCCATGGGCAGTGGTATATCCACATCTCAGAATCTTTGATGATTGTAATCATATTGCAAAGGCCACATTTCTTCTCTCCATAAGAGATAAGTTAACTTAGTAACAGTTCTTTCATAGCCACTCACAAGATGTATTTATTACATAACACCTAAGCTAGCCTGGCTGTTTTGTTCTAAGATTTCAATTCAGTAATAATAAAATAAGCAAGGCTTGCTCCTTGGAACAAAAGCTATGACAAACCAACAGCATGTTAAAAAGCAGAGACATCACTTTGCCAACAAATGTCCACATAGTCAAAGCTATGGTTTTTTCAGTAATCATGTACAGATATGAGAGTTGAACCAAAAAGAAAGTTGAGCACTGAAGAATTTATGCTTTTGAACTGTGGTGCTAAAGAAGACTCTTGAGAGTCCCTTGAACAGTAAGGGGATCAAACAAGTCAATCCTAAAGGAGATCAACCCTTAATATCCATTGGAAGGACTGATGGTGAAGATAAAGCTCCAATACTTTGACCAACTGATGCAAAGAGCTGACTCTTTTGCAAAAGACCTTGATGCTAGGAAAGACTGATGGCAGGAGGAAAAGAGGGGTGACAGAGAATGAGATAGTTGGATGGCATCACTGACTCAATGGACATGAGTTTGAGCAAACTCCAGGAGATAGTGAAGGACAGGGAACCCTGGCATATTGCAGTCCATGGGGTCACAAAGAGTCATACACGACTTAGTGACTGAACAAAAGTGTCTTAAACCATTGCAATCTTAGAGTTGCTAAGTTAGTTTTATATCTGCCCTGCAGTTTCAGAGGGAATATGGATGGTGTGAGACAGCAGCTGGGGAAAAGGGAAGAGGCAGAGAAGTCACAGAGCTCATTTACACATGTCTGAGCACAGCTGACGGGGTGAGAGCCAGGTCTGGTTGGCACCGTTTACCTGACTTGAACTGCATTGGCCACCGGGGCCAAGGGTCAGAGTCAAGGAACGAGGAACTGTGTGGCCATGGACCGTGAACTAGTTTCTGAGTGTTCTGGAAAAGGGGTCACTCTCCCAGGAAAAGAAGCTCTTTTAGTGATATGTGTTGAGGATTTCTCCCCAGTGTTAAGAATCTGCCTGACAATGCAGGGGACGCGGGGTTGGAGCCATGGTCTGGGAAGACCCCACATGCCTCAGAGCAACGAAGCCTGTGCCCTACAACTACTTGAGCCCGAGTGCCTAGAGCCTGTGCTCTGCAACAACAGAAGCCACTGTAATGAGAAGACCTCGCACTGCAACTAGAGAGGAGTCCCCACTCATTGCAACTAGAGAAAGCACAGCAATGAAGACCCAGCACAGCCATTAATTAATTAATTTTTAAAAAATACACGTTGGGGCACAAAAAGCTCAGCTGATGTCCACTGGTAAAAACAAACATGTGACTGGCAGCAAGGGAAAGGAGAGTTTGGCTGTTGGAGAAGCAACAGGGGCCTCACTCTGGACACAGAACTTGGTGTAGCCATGGAGGCCCCAGAAACAACTGCTCAGTGGCATCTTTGGGTAGGTTTTAAGGAAGAAAGAGATCAATGAATGTGGCTGGAAATGGAGAGTAAGAGTGTGGTGAATACCATTCAGGCTAACCAAGTATGGTTGCCAGACCCAGCAAATAAAGCTATAGGATGCCTAGCTTAAAATTTGGATTTCAGATAAGTACTTTTTTGTTGTAAGTATATCCCATGCAATTCACAACATGTGTGCGTGCTAAGTTGCTTCAGTTATGTCCCACTCTTTGTGACCCTATGGACTATAGCCTGCCAAGGCTCCTCTGTGCATGGGATTCTTGAGGAAAGAGTACTGGAGTGGGTTGTCATGCCCTCCTCCAGGAGATCTTCCCAACCCAGGGATCAAACCCGTGTCTCTTATATCTCCTGCATTGGCAGGCGGTTTCTTTATCAATAGCACCCCCTGGGAAGCCCTGCAACTCACAACATCAATATATAATTGAGTAAAAGCTGTTCCATTAATAAATTACATTTCTGAACATTCCAAGGTTGCCTTTCTCATTAAGACAAGGTCAGAGATTAATAGCAATACATGATTAAACTTAAAAAGGAATTCAATTACTCATTCCTTATCCATAGCTATTTATCTTCTTCTCATTTTCCATACTTCCCCTCTCATATTCTCTTCCCTTTCCTCATTCACTCTCCCATCCTTATACAGAGCATTCTGAGAATTTAATTAGACTCTTGGAGGTGATAGGACTTAGACCATTTCTTCACATATGTGAGGATTTGATCCTGGTGGCTTCCTTGCTAAAAGTTTATTTTACCAGCATCTTGACTCACAAAAAAAAATTTTTTTTAATCTTTAAACCAACTATTACTAGCTTTCTGAGTCTCTGATGCATGAGAAGTCTGGGTATTCAAGACCCCATGGGACAGGACTGCCTCGGTTTAAATCTTGATGATACCTGTTAACTCTTCACCTGAGACAATGTAATAATAACTCCCTCTGCCTCCCTTTCTTGTAAATTAATAGTGTCAAGCTATGAGCACTATTTTCACCTTGGGGTCTAAAGGCATTTTCCTGCAGGAAGTGCTCAGGAAATTGTGTTTATCTTATCACTAAATGCTTTACTATTGGAAAAGGACTAGAGATTTGAGCAGATATTTTGGTTCAAGGATCTGCAGTTAAATCTTCCCTCTTTCTCTCTCTCTCTTCCTTCTCTCTTGCTATTGTCATTCAGAGAGGAGTAAATTTTAATCCTACAGGCTTCCCTGAACAGCTACAAGTATAGTTCTCTCAGTTAAGTTTAGATAAGGTGAGAAGCTCCTATACTTTGGCCACCTGATGCGAACAGCCAACTCATTGGAAAAGACCCTGATGCTGGGAAAGACTGAGGGCAAGAGGAGAAAGGGTGATGGAGCAACAGAAGATGAAATGGTTAGATAGCATCCCCGACTCAATGAACATGAATCTGAGCAAACTTCAGGAGATAGTGAAGGACAGGAAAGTCTGGTGTGCTGTAGTCCATGGGGTTGCAAAGAGTCAGACACAGCTTATAGAGTCGGACACAATTTAGTGACTCAACAACAGCAAGGTGAGAAGTGGAAAGCTGAAAGGAAGAAGAAAGCCAGATACACTAGCAATTTCCTCACTATGATCTTAAAGGCAAGCATTTTTAATCCCATTTTATTGGCAAGGTTCAAATTGCCCAAGGCACAGGATTAGTAATTGGCAGAAGATAAATTTACAGCTGAGTGTTACTCATGTACTACTGTTTTTCCACATCACATTCCCACCTTCTGAAAGGGAGAGTTAGTTGAATACTTTCCCTTTTTATATATCTTTTAACACAACAGTGTTTACATGAAAAATGTATTAATAAATTCTTAAGGTGTCTAGATATGCCCTTAAAGAAACAGGGTAGTGAATTTTATGCCCTCTTGAAGAAGTAACTTTTGTAATGGCTTTCTATTGCTGATTTGGTTCCAGTAGGAAAAAAAAAGGGGGGGGGGGTTTCTGTCTTGAAAAACACTGCAGGTACATTTGGCCATTGAGACGAGGTCACATATGCTTCCATGGTCATAGTTTAACTTGCATTAGAGTCCATGGTTCAATATTAATGTAACTGACTAACTGAAAGAGGTCATATGCTTAATACCTAACTCCATTCCATCTGAGCTAAAACCAGATGATTCTCATCATTTAAGCTCTGTCTATTTTAAAACCCACTAGTGATAAAAATGAAAATAAGTAAAATAAAATATGATAATCACCATTGTGTTCCTGGAGAAAAAGCAAACAAAAACTTAACTTCTTTTTTTCTATAAAGCCTTCTAGATCTGAGCTGAAAGTATATAACATGCACCATCCATGCAGGCAAATGTGGATCCCATGGGCTGTTTTAAACCCACAGTCATCAGGAAACAATAAGAATCAATTCTTCAGAATAAAGAGGTAAAAACATATTGAACAGTGGCAAAATATTATTGGTTAGCTGCCTGAGCACTTGGAAAAAGATTGGGAGCCCCAGGAGTTGGAGGAAACAGACAGTGGTTGTCCTTGCTGTATTCTCATGACTCCAAAAATCAGTTTTTAGTTTAGGGGAGAATGGATACATGTACATGGCTGAGTAAATGTAAATGTCTGAGTCCCTTTGCTGTCCACCTGAAACTATCACAACATTGTTAATTAGCTATACTCCAATATAAAATCAAAAGTTTAAAAAAATAAGAGAATTTTTATCAGAAATTTTTCTATGAAATGGGGCTTTCGGTGAACTAGTATTTGCACAGCGCTTTATCTTTCAAAGGTCTTTACCAATAAAAGTTATTAATCCCTTTAAATAAAGACTCCTTTGTCTCCCACAAGTAATGGATTCCAAGAGTTAGAGGCTGAAGGAGGCTGCAAATCCAGAGCAAACTGCCCACTGCAGATTATTCAACAAGGGCTCAAGTCTGCCTTCAGCAACTGTTTACAGACGTTTCCTGAAGGAGTTTCTCACCTCAAGGAAGCTGCTGATTAACAAGGACTTAACCTCCCATAATTAACAGAACTCTCGAAAGTTATGAAAGTAACTTTAACAGAAAGTAACTTTTACGAAAGATACTTTAACAGAAAGTATCGAAGGGCTCTGTTTCACTCCACATAAATTCCACAAAACAACCTTTTAATCTTACGCTCATATTTCTTTTATTCCTTCAAAAAGTCTTCATCATATGCCTGAATGAGAGTATTCAGGTCAGAGATAATCAGCTGGAATTCCTGAGGCTTCAGACACTATGCCCACAGCAAGAAGAAACCAGATTAAACACTGTGCTCTCTAATGTCCTCCAGGGAACCTGTGACGGGCAGAAACTAGAAACCCAGATCATTTCCAGAGTCAACACAATCAGTCCTTCGGTTCTCTCTGATAGGATGGTGCAACAGAGAATAATTCAGTACTCCTCTATCAAGTTAAATTTGTCATTTAGGCAACTCTCAACAAGTAAAACTATTCTCTCTCTTGCTCACTCGCTTGCTCGTGTGCACACTCTCTCTCTCTCCCCCCCTCCCTTCCTCCCTCCTTTCTTCTCATTTCTATCTGGAAAAATTATCCTCTGACATGCAGGAAATAATTGTGTTAAAAATTTTCTTTTCATGACTTCCCTGGCAATCCAGTGGTTAAGCCTTCATGCTTCCACTGTAGGGAGGATGGGTTTGACCCCTGGTTGGGGTACTAAGATGCCACATACCATGTCAAGAAAACAAACAACAAAAAATATTTTTTTTAAACCTTTCATTTCATTGCCATTTTGCAGGGGTAAAAGGGCAAATTTGTCCTGGAAGGAAAAACAATTTTGTCTTGATCTATGGATCTTTCCTCCTTGCTGCACGTTTGTTATTTTGCTGGCTTGCAAGACTCCAGAAGACAGGGATGATAAAGGGAGAGAGAGTGAGAACTAATCTCCAGGACATTCCTCGATGTCAGGAACGTGGGAAGGATCCATACTAGAAGTCATTTGCCAGTGTTATCGCCAAGCAGCAGTTTTCATTGATAAATGCCCATAAATAGAAATCAGGAGATAATGCTTTCAAGGTACTGAAAGATTAGACTTGCATTCTGGATCCAAGTTTGAATATTTATCAAAACAGGATCAGGGGGTTCTTTTAAAGGAGAAACAAAATTTGGAGAGCAAAAAGCTCTTTAATAACGCAATACTTCATTGACATCAGAGACGTACAATGTGCAGGATATTGAAACTGAAGGACATATCCACCAAAAGCCAGAATGAGTTAAGTTTGTAACTTGCAATGAGGAAAAACTTTTAAGATCATATTAAAAGAAGGAACAACTGAAAAAGAGAAAGACTGTGATTGCTTTTTAAGAATATAGTGTGCTAATAAATGACAAGGTCAAAAACAAAATTCCTGCACTCTTTTTTGCTGGGAAGGACAGAATGTGTTGTTACAAGGGAACTGAAGAATAGGACAGCAGGGATATTGGAAGAGAGTGAATAGCTGCTCTTGATTCCAGTGAGATAAAACACAGAGATTCTATCACAACAGAACCCATTTCTTTCTCTCTTTATAATCACAGAATATAGGAGACCCACCAAAATATGGGGAAAGACAATGTCTAGAGATTTTTTTTTTAAGTGATTTTAAGGAACTACAGAAACCAAAGTTTGTTATTGATCTGCCATACGTTTTTGGACTTGATTACTTAACAAGACAGTACATCAGTCAGTGTCACCTTACAGACCAATATTCCTAGAGTTTGATGGGAACATGGAGGCACTGTGATGCCCAAGTCAGCTTTGTAAGAGAAGGGAAGTTTTCCTGCTGACGGCGATGCCCGATTTGAGCAGGAGAATGCTGCGGATGACCCCGGTGACAGTCAATCAGAAGAAAAGATGGCGGACGGCAGCAGGGAGACGACTGTGGTGAGGGGCCTGATGACTAATTGAAGAAAGACAATGAGGAGTATCCATGTGAAGAAAACCTGGGTTCACCCTGCTCTGGTTATGGTGGACACTGCACAGTGCCTGAATGGAAAAGTCCAGACTGTATCTATCAGCTCTCTCCGCTACTGAATGTAGGGGTGGCAGGGGAGGGGAGAGGGGGGCAGGCCATCCCTCTTATACATAAGGCGCTCCCATGGCTATCCCTTTGATGCTTTGACTCCTACTAACCCCTCTGCCTTATCTTGCCCGGGCCCATCCTCACTCTACACCAGCCATGGAGGCCTCCTTCCTGTTCCTCAGAGAACAGGTTTCTTCACGGGGTGAGAGTTGAGGTCACACAAGGTTTTCTCTACCTAAGGAAACAGCTCTGTGTATGTTAGATAAACACTGCGTGACTTCCCTAGAGAACAGTTAGTTTTGCTGGTAATACAGGCACTTAACCTTGGATACTCTTAACCAGGGGATGTCTTAGTTCTTCAAAAACACACCCTAATTTAAACAACAACAAGCAGGCAAAAGTGACATCGAATTTGGAACTATAGCTTTAGGAGATTTTATACATTTCTGTTCAACTCTCTGGGGGCTTTTGACCTTGGCCTTGAGAAGGACATTTCTCCAGTAGCTTGGGGCACCTCTAGCCCTGGTATAAGAAAGAGATCCACAGGCCAAACCAAACTGATGTGGAGCCACCATGGCTTACATGCAGACCTGTGAGTATGAAAAATAAATGTTTATTGGTTTAAAAAAAAAAAGGAAAGGAAAGAAAAAAGTTACCTGTAACTCCCTGCTGTGTTTATACATGTGGCTCCATTCTGGCAGCCCAAGGGTGTCCCTGAGTAGATCTCACATTCATTAACATCAACAGAACACAGAGGACCCTATGTTTAGATAAAGCACAAAGTCAGGAACTACAGGTTACAAAGCATCTGGGCCAACAGTCACACAGCATGTTCAAAGGTTTACAAAGAGACAGTAAAGAAGTCCTCGGTCAAGCTAAATATGATAAAATTAAAACTCATCTCCAGTCATCCTTCATCTACAACTCAGGTGTGGCCTAACAGAGCCAAAGAGCTCTTCATAGATCATACCAGTCACAGGAGAAGAATCCTTACGTGGACTACTCTTCATTTTACTGTGGAGCTCTGCCTAAGAATAGTCACTTAATTTCTTCTGGATGCACATGTCAGGAATGTTTTCATTATTAATAGAAAAGGACAGGAAAATGCACAGGCTACATTAAGATTCATTTAGTTATGCTGAGCAATTTAAATTCATGCTGGCCAGAACAGCAGATAGCATCTAGTCCAGCAAATCCCCACTTAAGATGGTTCAGGATTCAATGGTGACAGAATCATGCTGGCCGCAATTTGCATCTTGGCATACCTGGTGTCATTTATTCTGACTCAGGAGACCACAGAATCCTAGAAACTTTGGACAGAGAATTAAATAGGTCTGGAGGATTCCTAGGAAACCACTGATGTTGACTCATCATCATTTTTAACCGAAGACTAGGTGACTCACCTTCCACTGTGAGGGACACATACAAAAAAAGGAATCAGGGAGGTTGAGGCAGGTTCCCCCATGCTGGCAGGGATTGCTGCTGCAAACTTTTCTGTCCAGTGTCTGGAACAAAGACAGGATGGTCAGCGAGACAGTCATACTTTCCACATTTTAGAACAGGTGTGTACACCAAACCACATTTTACTCCTGGTCAATTGGGCGGCGGGGAGGGCGGCGGAGGGGGTCTTCCTCCAGACTTTAAATCCATTATGTAAATACTTCTTCCTATCAACTCTCTTGTGAGAAACCAAAAAGTGTTGACTATTATCAAGCCCTATCCATATTCCTTCTCTACTAATGTGTATTTAACCATGGATGGGTGAGGCAAAAGTGAGGGGCAAGAGTTCTCACTCTGCTCTCTGAAAAAACACTGTTCTCCTGAGAAACGTGTGATGGTGACAAGATGCGGGTGTGGGAATCACATGGAAATTCCTATTGTACGAAGAAAATAAAACAGAAATTCTGGTTCTTTGGCTGTTGTTCTTCTCTTTGGTACCTCCAGATAAGCATTTGAAATATGATCATCTTTGCTGCCCCCACACTCCTCCCCTGGGTTAAGATGACTGAACTCTTTTCACTCCAAGACCCTTTGTGGGAAATGTGGCCTGAGGCTTAAATACACCCTCCAGCCTCATGCTCACATGACTGCTTTCAGACCAGAGTCAAACATAGAGACCTGCCTTTGGCTATGGAACCTGGGGAATCCTACCCTAGGTCAGCTACTAGTTCCCACCTTGTAAGTTTTGAAATGCCTTTGGGGCAGAGAAAACGTCTTTAGAGAGCACAAGTGATTATCCAAGGACAGCTATCCCATTAATTTCACCTAATGTTAGTCTAATTCTGTTTTAAAAATTAAAATGGGGCAAATTATTCTTTACATTTTTGAAAAATATTTGGTGAAATATTTGATTTTCTCAGAGAGAAAATCAAGTCTGTTCCCCCTGTTTGCAGATGAAACAGAGCAGAGAATGGCAAGCTGACTCAGCACCGTGTGGAGCAGAGCCCGTTCTCTCTCTACCTTTGTGGTAAGTCAGGTGCCCATACATTTGGGGGTCTCCTCTGGGCTCTGCTTTCTTCCATTTTCCTGTCTATGTGCCAGTACCACAATTAGTCCTGTTCATCAAAGGACACCGTTAAGAACATTAACCACAAACTCATTAGAGGTTTTTCTGGCATGTAAGACAACATTGTCTGGGGATTAAAAACTCAGAAGCCCATGGGGACCCAGAAGTAAATAGTGAGCAGTCAGGAGAAAGACAGTTGGAAACTATGGGACTTCAGGCATCCAAAGGCATGGAGGCATTTCTACTCCAGAGTCACTAAAAACTCTTCCTGGGGGGGATGGACAGAGGGAGGCCAGTCCCAGTTAACTGGACTATGGCCTCCAGTTCTTGAACTTTGGCAGGAATAAACACTCTAGGAGACTGAGAACTAGTGTTTGTCTTGCTCATTTTCATTTATTCAACTACTCTCTAAAAAGACAAAGGCAGAAAGAGCAATTTCTTATCAAAGCCAGGAAAAGGAATAAGTAAACTTGTCCACCAAAATTAAAACAACAGAATAGAGGACATTTGAAGAATAATCAAAAACAGATCAAGAATATGAGAGCAGGGACTCTGAACCTGGAATCCTCTTACTTTTATTCATTAAAATATGGGGACTTCCTATGCATTTCTCTGTGTGGAAGGTTATGGTGCCCTTGAAAGTCTTAAAAATATCAGCTTCCTACAAAACGGATAAGAAGTCTAAAACTACAAGGACTAGTTTACAAGCATGCAGTAAAGTTATGGATGGTTTATTCTAAGAAATTGTTCAAATTTAATCACCAGCAGATATACTTTTAAGAAGGTCTGGAATATTCTGAGATACAGCCTAGACTCTAAGTTTAATGTTAGAGAAAATGTGAGCGTTTTGAAAACTGAGTCCTGGATGCCAGAATAAGCAAGTTGGGTGGTCACTAGCTGACCGGCTCCAGCACACTTACACTGACATTACATGATTTAAAAAGTGATAGCCAAAGAGGAAGAGCACATGGACAGCTGAACTGAGAGTCAGAGGACTTCACATGCTCAGTGAGCTTCATCTCTCTGAGGCTCACTTTCCTCATGTGTCCTCGGAAGCATGACATGTGATGAGAATTAAATGAACTTACTTACAAATCAGAAATAGACTCACAGATGAAGAAAACAATCTTATGGTTACCAGGAGGGAAAGATGGGAAGGGATAATTGGGAGACTGGGATTGACATATACACACTGCTATTAATATACATAAAATAGATAGCTACTGAAGACCTACTGTATAGCACAGAGAACTCCACTCAATACTCTGCAATGGCCTAAATGGGAAAAGAATCTAAAAAAGAGTATATATATACACACATACAAATGATTCACCTTGCTGTACGGCAGAAACTAACAACACTGTAAATCAAATACATGCCAATAAGAAAACTGGTTTTGATTGTGAGAAGAATTAAATTATGGGAAGAGCAAAGCCCTTGATATTGATCATCCATCCACCTTAAGGATTCCGGTTCTATCTGGACTTCCCTGGTGGCTCAGTGGTAGAGGATCTGCCTGCCAATGCAGGACACACAGATTTGATCCCTGGTCTGGGAAGACTCCCACACTCCACACGCCATGGTACATGGGCAGCCAAGCCCATGTGCCATGACTTCTGAAGCCCTCACACCCTAGAGCTCTAGCTCTGCAACAAGAGAAGCCATCAAAGTGAGCAGTCTGCACACCACAGCCAGAGAGTAGCTCCCAGCTCCCTGCAACTAGAGAAAAGCCCATGCAGCAACGAAGACCCAGCACAGCCAACACAAATAAATAAATGAAATTAAAAAAAAAAAAAAGAACACCAGCTCCATCAGTGATTCTAGTGTATTTTCAGTGAAAGATGTTGGCTATCTAGTAGTTATAGGACTTACCTGCTGTAAGCTTTGGAATTTTCTCTCAAGATCCACAAGCTAGCAGTGGGGAAGAGAAAACATTCATTAGCTGGTTCAAAGGCACATCCTGTGCCATGTTACTCTGTTACCTATTTTCCTAGTACCTTCACTTAATCTGTTTGCTCCTTGTCTAATTGCCTCCCCCCTCCTCTTTTCTCTCCCCTCCAGGCTTCCCTTCCTTCCTTCTCTCTTCCATTGCATGGATTTTTTTTTTTTTTAAAGAAGTATAACACAATGATAAGTTGATTCATTGACTGTCTGTATATGGTGACCCTGGGAATTTTCCTGAGTGACAGTGACCCATCCACCTCATCAGTAAGGAGGTGGCTATCAGAACGTGAGCAGAGCCAACTTAAGCCACAAGCTCTTGTCACAGGATTTCCAACCTCTGCTCATCACACCTCTACCTCCTCCATTAGGGCTGGGTCATTTAACAAAAAAGTCCATAATTATAACACTACATTTTTAAGGAGGATACAAAATTGGTATGTCTTCTGCAAAATGATTACTTACAAAGTTGTATTAAGGAGAACCCATTTGTCCCAAGGATATGGATGTCAGACTTACCTTGGAATCAAGCTGATGGATTTGATTAGAAATATTTTGAGGTAGACCGACTATACTTCTTTTTAAGTTTGTAATATCATCTTTGTTTTTCTGGATCTGATTTTTTTTTAAAAAGGAGAAGAAAACGAAGGGAGAAGAGAAGGAGGAAGAGAATGTTAGTGAAAAAATTATGTCTATAAGAATAAAATCTTTAAATTTGGGTAGTATTCTATTTCAAGCCCTAAGACCTTGTCATTATTATTTAAAAAAAAAACACAGAACAATGCCATGTATAATAAACATCAGACTAAAATAGCCATGGCATAATTCCATTTACCCTTTCAGTAATAAGGTATCAAGGAATTTTCTGTTTGCATTTTTTTCCCATAATAATAGTTTAGAATGCTTTTTAAGAGGCCTGACTTGGAAGGAGACTGTTTGGGTTTTAAATCTTGGCTCAGCCATTTAATGTATGTCCTTGGATACATTGCTGAGATGCTGTAGGGAGGTTTCCTCTATCTCCCTTACAGATGCGGTAGCGATAAAGCCAACCTCATAGGCAGCCATGAGGGTTAGATGAGATAATACACATAAAGTGCTGAGCACAGCACAGAGTCCATAATGAGCTCTAAATGCTAGCTCCTAACATGATGACCGATAGACCTGTGTGATGTAACAAACGATGAGCTCTGAAAACATTCAGTAAGGCAGGAGAGAGGATAACTGGCCAATTCTGTTCTGTGGCAAAAATAAACTGATCACATCTACACCTTTCTGTGGTCCCCTTGTGAAGAAACCCCAGTATCACCCTCTGCACCTTCTCTGGGCTGGAGTACGTAAGTCCACACAGTGAGCCACTTGCTGCTAGTGCTATGTCCCATACCCAACATTAACCCCAGGGATGCCCTACACAGAGTTGTTTTACCTCAATCATGTTCCCTGTGCTCAAGAAAGTACAGATTAACATAGGCCTTTTCAGCATGAATAAACAAAACTACTTCAGTATGTTTCCAGTGTATTACCTGATGGAAACACTCGCCGACATCCTCATCATTTAATTTAATTCTCCCCAGGGATCCAGTTCTAAATTCAATGTTTTGAGCTGATCCAGTAAGAAACACCAAGTTTCCCCTCTCTGCAGTCATTCGAGGCCTACATAATCCAAGCCAGAGAATGCATCAGTAATTATCACATGCAGTTTTTTAAGTCTAGAGAACAAAGTTTCTCCCTCAATAGCTAGGGACTGCATACACCTTTGCTTTGTGGTCATCTCAGCTGGATTCTCCCTGCTCACTTGTCATTTCTTTCTTTGCAAATTTCCTGGACATGCCTCCTAGTAACTGCATACTTGCCTAATTTGCCAAGTGATAAATGAAGTGTTTGTGTATAAAAAGGTACATCCAGACATCAGTCCACCTGTTTTTCCCTACTTGTTTTTAATATCACCTTTTTTCTTTAGAAACATTATGCCTTCGCTTATCTGGTTATTTGTGAGAGCTGATGAGGAGCCACCCAAGTCCACCAGCAGAAGTGACCCATGTGTGTACTTACTGTTGGAGGTCAGTATTTCTTTTTTGCCTCTGCAGCGCAAGTCCTCCATCTTCACTGTATGATGCAGCAAACATCAATAAAATAACCAGACTCCCAAGAAAAAGTGAGGACATGTTCCTCACCAGCCTTCTGGGTCGTCAGGAAGGAGGGAGGCTGCTCCCCCAGCCGAGTGTGGGAGTCCAGAGAACCAAGCCTGGCAGATATACTTTGACCTGTGGATTGTCCTACACTTTTCAGTCCTTTCTTCTTTGCCCTGGAAGCCTACGTTATTTTTTTCTTCCTGAGGGATGTAAATGATCTTAGATCTTCAATACTCTTCAACTTGTGAGAGGTCAAAATCTACCTCTAAGTGATGCACAACTTAATCATTACCTATTTGACCTTTGAAACAGTAGCAAATGGCTTTGGAAACATCCACTAAAACACTCCTTGCTTAAGAAGTAACTGACTTTCAACAAATGCTATTGGGAACTGTTGGATATCCACAAGGAAAAGAATGAAGTTGGACCCAGACTTTAGATTATATAGAAAAAAAAAAAAAAAACACAAAATGAGTCAAATACCTACTTAAATATAAGAGCTAAAACCATAAAATTCTTAGGAAAAAACATAGGGGAAAATCGTCATGATTTTGGATTCCACAATGATTTCTTGGATATGACACCAAAAGTAGAAACAAAAAAAGAGAAAAAAAAATAGGTAAGTGGGACTATTTCAAAATGAAAAACTTTTATATATTAAAAGACACTGAACTGAAGTCGCTCAGTCATGTCTGACTCTTTGCGACCCCATGGACTGTAGTCTACCAGGATCCTCAGTCCATGGGATTTTCCAGGCAAGAATACTGGAGTGGGTTGCCATTTCCTTCTCCAATTAAAACTATCGATCATGAAAAGGCAACTTAAAAATGTGAAAACTTTGCAAATCATACATACGATTAAGAGGTTCGTATGCAGAATACAGAGAATCCCACAACTTAACAGCACAAAATAAGTAACCCTATTAAGCAATGGGCAAAGAAAATCAACATTTCTTCTGAAAAGATACACAAATGGCCAAACAGCATGTGAAAAGATGGCTCAGTGTCATTTATCACTGCTGCTGCTGCTAAGTTGCTTAAGTCGCGTGTGACTCTGTGCGACCCCATAGACGGCAGCCCACCAGGCTCCCCCGCCCCTGGGATTCTCCAGGCAAGAACACTGGAGTGGGTTGCTATTTCCTTCTCCAATGCATGAAAGTGAAAAATGAAAGCGAAGTCGTTCAGTTGTGTCCGACTCTTAGCGACCCCATGAACTGCGGCCAACCAGGCTACTCCATCCATGGGATTTTCCAGGCAAGAGTACTGGAGTGGGGTGCCATTGCCTTCTCCACTAGGGGAATACAAATCAAAACCATAGTGAGATAATATTTCACACTCATAAGATGGCTACTGTCACACAAAAGTGGAAAATAACAACTATTAGGAGAGAATGTGAAAAAATTAGAACCCTGGTGTACTGCTGGTGAGAATGTAAAATGATATAGTCACTATAAAACAGTATGACAGTTCCTCAAAAAATTAAACATAGAATGACCATGCATGTGTACTAAGTCACTTCAGTCACGTCTGACTCTTCGCAACACTATGAACTGTAGCCTGCCAGGCTTCTCTCCAGGCAAGAATCTTGGAGTGGGTTGCCATGCCCTCCTCCAGGGGATCTTCCCAATCCAGGGATTGAACCCGAGTCTCTTTTTTCTCTTGCATTGGTAGGCAGATTTACCACTAACACCACCTGGGAAGCCCTAGAATGATGATCTAGCAATTCTACTTCTGGCTATAATAATTGAAAACAGGGACTCAAAGAGATATTTGTACAGCTGTGTTAATAGCTGCATTATTTACAACAGCCAAAACATGGAAGCAAGCCAAATGTCCATCCAAGTGTTCACTGACAGATCTGAATGGAAAACAGAATGTGTTACAATATATATATAACGGAATATTATTCGTCCTTAAAATGAAGGAAATTCTGACATGCTACAATGTGGATGAATCTTGAAGACGTTATGCTAAGTGAAATAAGCTACTTACGAAAGAACAGATACGATATGATTCCATTCATATGAAGAACCTAAAGTAGTGAGATTCATAGAGACAGAAAGTAGAGTGGTGGTTTCTAGGGCTGGGGGTAGGGAGAATGGTGAGATATTGTTTAAAGGGTACAGAGTTTCACTTCGGAAAGATGAGAAAAAGTTCTGGAGACAGATAGTGGTGATGGTTGCACAACAGTGTGAATGTACGTAATGTATGCAGTGCCACGGAACTTAAAAATTACTCCTTTAAATAAGCTCTGCAGCTTGGTATTATGGAGAGATGGAATACTGTCTTACACCTGTTCTATTCAGTCAAAAGAACAAAAACAGCAAAAATAGCTGGCAAGTTGATACTTTCTTTAGGTGATACTGGAGGTCAAATGATGCGTTCTTTTTTCTTTTGTTATTTAAGAAATGGGTGTCATACAACAATGGTATTTCAAGTTGAATACATCTTTTTTAAGTTAAATTAGTTCGAAGTGTGTTTAAAAGCTTAACAATTTGGTGTAGGGGTGGGGGAAAATCTTGACTATGAAATAGTTGTCAAACTTTAAGAACAAGATAAAATAGGATGTGTTAGAATATTCCAACACAAACGACCATTCTAACTCTGAACTTTGAACAGAACATAACTATTTTCATGATTCTATTTTCTTAAAGGTCACTGCGTACAGCCTATCTTTTAGAGCAATAAAAGATGTCTCCAGCATATTTCAAAAAGAACTTCGTTTTATTTAACAGAATTTTCCTGTTTTACTAATGTGCTTACTAAAACAAAGTCAAGATAATTTCTCTACTCTGAGTCTAGTCATCCAATTCTCAATTGTCCCTCATGCTAGAAAGAAAAGAAACATTCTTTCAAGGTCTGACTGACTTTGGATGACTTAGGGAATTTTATATCCAGCTCACCTGCTCAACTCTAGCTGAGATCAATAGATAAGTCAGACAGTCTGCACATGATGACTCAGTGGAAACAATATAAAAATCAATCGCTGTTCCCACAGCATTATCATTCATTCGTTTGGCCTGCCTTATTTGGAATTTCTTCAATAAAAATAAAATAGCTGTCGAATCCATGACCTTTAGACTTAGAAGGTGAATAATCTCCTGTCTCCCTTTCTCAGAGTAAATGCTGTATAAACCTGAAATCCTGTCTTTCATGACTGGCAAAGCTCCCATTTCCTCCCTAAATCAGAATGCATTCCACAAAGATCCTTCACATGCCCTTTCTGTATTAGCCATTCTACAAAATGACAGGAATGCAAGATGGGATATATTGCAGATTTTTCTCTCCAAAGTCAACTCTAGGGAAGCTCACTGGGCTCAGGGTAAGAACATGGGCTTGGAAGTTCATTCATCTGGGTTTAAATGCAGCTCCATCACTGTCTGAGCATATGACCCTTTCTTCATCAGCAAAAAGATAATAATAACAGCACTGAAGGTGTACAAAATGTTTAGCACACCTGGTCTCTGGCATATAAATGTCCACTAACTACAAACTGTGATTATCATGTAAATAAATATAACAATTCTCCTTCCTCTTGCACCACTTGAACTTGGGTTTCTTAAAGCAGGGAATGATGCAAGAATCCACAGGCAACTTAAAAAGCTTCGGCACAAGGAAAATTGGGGGTGCCTCATCTCCCCTTCTACAGGAGAGGATTTCAGAACACGGACACGCATGGAGGACTTTGAGTGAAGGGGGGGGATAGCTGAACTGCAGCTGGGGATGCAAGCCCAAAGTAAACTGATGTCTGAGAACCAGGCGAAGTGGTGCCAGGAAGCAAGGAAGCACTCCACATGGGCAAGTGGAGCCAACGTTAGACTTGAATCCAAGAGTCTCCAAGAGCAGGCAACCCAAAGGAAACAAACTCTTCCCCGAGCCGGAGCTGAGGAAACAGAGGAAGGAGAGGGTTTGCTCTGGGAGCTTCTCTATGCTGGGGAGGAGTGTGTGAGAGGACACCTAAGAAAGCCATAAGACACTTTTTCGCATTCAGGACACTAATAACATCCATCACTTTTACACATCTTACGTTTGTCACGAGGTCTGCTGTGTTCTTGGTTTCCAGCTTTTGGCCAAGGTGAATGTCAATGTGTTTTGCTTTGCTGCAGACGTCACACATGGTACATGGACTTAGGGCTGTTCCCATTCCTCCATCTCCAAGTCCAGTGTTACTAATCAATGATTCGTGACCTACTGACTTGTGCTCCCAATCCTGTCCCAGGATGTCACCTTCCAACGTCTCTCCCAGCTGCTCAGCAATTCTTACAGAATTTTCAGTTCCTTCTGTTCTTCTCTTTCCTTCCTTACAAAACAGAATCAGAACTGTCTTCTTTCTTCCTTTACCCTTTCCAAAACATCTTAGTACAACCTTTGCTTCTCGTGCACCATCCACTTCACTTCCTTTTTCTATCTGAATACCCAAGTCCCCAGTGTTTTTAGTAATCCCCAACACAACACACTAAGGAAATTCATGAATAACTCAATTCACAGAGGAAAATTCTATAGTCATCAAAACTGTACACGAAAGTAAAGCCCAGTATATTAGAATTTCACTCAAGGGTAAGTGCTGGCTGAGAGGCATCACTGTAATCATAAAGCTGATAAGTAAAAGTAAAAGTCGCTCAGTAGTGGCTGACTCTTTGTGACCCTATGGATTACACAGTCCGTGGAACTCTCCAGGCCAGAATACTGGAGTGGGTTGCTATTCCCTTCTCCAGGGAATCTTCCCAACCCAGGGATCGAACCCGGGTCACTCGCATTGCAGACGGATTCTTTACCACCTGAGCCACCAGGGAAGCCCAAAGCTGATAAGGATCAAAACAAAAACACAACAACAAAAACAACAGAGAACAGAATTAACCAAATTAACTGCCAGGGAAGGGCAATGCAGGCTTCCCAAGAGCCAGTTGAGTCTTACAGAATATATACGAGTTTTCCAGACAAAGCAGTGGGACTGGGAGTTTTAGACAGAAAAAAAAGGGCACATCTAAAGTTTTTCAGTTACAGAACAACTAAGTATGGTTACAATGCAAATGC